TCGTAAAACTCCATGCCAGCGTGTAAGCTACTGGGCCAGCTGGACCAGTGATTTAAGTGCTGGCCTCGAGTTTTACAACTTACTTGCCACAAGTTCAATCCCGACCGTGGTATGGTGTGTTTACAATCGTTTCATTACGATATCATCAGGCAAAAACATTTGCTGATACTACATCATATAAACCTTCTTGATATTCTTCCTTACTAAACAAATTTAAAATCATTGTTGTATGTAAATAATCTGTCACAAAAACTGTTAAAAATTCCCCAGAGATGTTTATGTTGTTTACAAAATTTCATATACAGTATATGATGAATTATGTATAGGAACCATCAGAACAGAGCCTAGATTTAAGATTTAAATGACACATGTTTACAATTAGATCTGGTCAGGATTTTAAAACTATTCACAATTTTTTTTTTGTAATCATTCTCATGATTTGTTGATGCTAAGATGTGTAGTTTTATTAATCTAAGCATAAAAGTTGGCCTTGTTAAACTGGATACATTCATATTTAATATATAATTAAAAATTTTAGTCTGTGTTGCCAGACCAAGTCACACACTACCCAAATGCCACAATAGAGCCATCTATTGCAAATTTTCTTTGTAAGACTCTATACAGAGATCTTTTTTACTTAGTAGTGTGGAAAACTTAATTTTTCTAAAACAGCAGATGATTATTCATAGGTGTAAAGTACCTGTGGGTTCAGCAATGATACTCAGAACTTGTCTAATCACTATTAGTAGACACTGATAAGTCAGCAGTTGCAGAATCATTTTTACACTGCACAAGCATGCCAGCTGTTGCTCATAGAGAGGGTCATCATCTGACGAACCTCTGTATCAGGAGATAATTATCTCCTGACGCAGAAATAATACACCACTATGTAATTTCCTTAATGGTGTTTCATGAGAATGAGATTAATACATCAAAACATAATTTCCCTTTCATCGTGGTTCAATTAAAATTTTGGTGCATATCTGCTGTGTGTACTTACAAGACACAAAATACTTAGTGGAATAAATTCTTTACCATGGATATAGAAAGGACGAGAAGATACAGTTAAAATTACACCTCCAAGTCGGCCACAGATGAAGTTAAACTAGGTTTTTAGAGGTCCCTCGAATCCTGAATTCACAAATAATACAAAAGACTCTACATACTATACATTTTGCTTTAGATTAAGCCCATTTTTAAGCCATCTCCTGAAATATTTGTGTAATCTGGTTAATATTTGAAAAGAACGCTCGGAAAAAAATTTCAGTTTGAATAAGCCATTGAACATATTGTGAATACAATTTGATTGTTGGTTTTCAATTTACAGATTGTATGCCAAGCCCAAAAAAAAAAAAAAAAAAAAAAAAGCCATTAAAAGGTTGAATGAGTAAAGCTATCTGCAAGACGCCACTCAGTAAAAACACTGAATAAGAGAAGTAAAAACACTGAATAAGAGAAGTAAAAACACTGAATAAGAGAAGTAAAAACACTGAATAAGAGAAGTAAAAACACTGAATAAGAGAAGTAAAAACACTGAATAAGAGAAGTAAAAACACTGAATAAGAGAAGCCTTTGTATTACATATGTCTTCTAAATTTCAAGGTTTAACTACAGTACATGTATGGAAAACCTTTTTAATGAATGGGGGTAAAAATGGGATAAGCTAAGCAGTTATGAGAACTGCATATGTTATAATAACCATAAAGCAGCCTTCAAATATACGTATAGGGGGAGAGATGTTGAAAAATTTATGTAAGGTCAGAAGTGGAATATGCAGCACTTTTTGTGTCCACACCTAAAAAAAAAGATGGGGACCGGATAGAAAAAAATCACAAAATGTATCCAAGTGGAAAAATGTCAGGAAAAACTGAAAACTCTAGATTCTCATGCCGATTGATAGGCGTGATAGACTAGACATGACGACAACATATAAGCCAGCAAAATGATATGAATATTAGATAAGAAAGTTGTTTAGTGGCCTTCAATGGGGTTAACAGACTCCACATGTAAATAAAGAAAAATATGGACCCAAAGAGATACTGGAAATTTTTTTTTTATCATTTGAATGGTGAAAATTATAAATTGGAGAAGGCAGCAGTACGCCATGGAAAATTTTAAGGAATTATATGATAAAAAATGAATGGTGAATTTTATTGTAAATAAAGTGTCATGATGAAAGTGAGAGATCGCAATAAGAGAAGTTAGGGATAAAAAGTCATTACTGGCAAAAATGTCACCTGAAAATCATAAAAGTACAGTACAGTGGAACCTCGGTTCTTGAACAGCTCTGTACTCGAACAATTTGGTATTCAAATGCTTTGTTCAGTAAACAAATCGCTTGGTAGTCGACCATTTGCTCAGCACTCGACCAAACAAACGCGACCTACCAGAACTTTGCTATTAACTATTTCGTGTTTTTTTTTTTTCACATTTTTTGTTTTTTATATTGTATAAATAAATCACCATGGGGCCTAAGAGGGTTAATGATAATAGCCAACCAAAAAGAAAATTGGTTGGGAAAAATTTGTTCTATACTTGAACAGATCGGCACTCAAACAGCTTTCTGGACTCAATTAAGTTCGAGTTCTGAGGTTCCACTGTACTTCATATCTTCAGCAGACGCTGATCCTCTTCTGCTAGGACCCAGGACAGTCTGATGTACTAATCAATGAACTTGCTCAACAGTCACTTTTTAAACTTCTCAGTGCCTTATAGATCACATAAAAGACTCAATAACTGTTGTCAAACAAGCTGCATTTGTGACTGTTAGACACAAGATTCACATATGCAAATCTCGCGGAGAGATGCCCATCTTATCTGAGAGAAGTGACAGTCAAACATCGTTTGATGGTCTTATTATTGTTAGAAGATGTACACTTGACTTTATTTATGCTCTGACACTCAAGGTGCACTTCTTTCTGAAAGTGTCCATCTTCAATGCAGTGTGTCTTTTTAACCCTTAAATGGTTCAAACGTATATATACGTTTTTTCAACATCTGAAAGTATGTAAAAAATTTAGATCTTTTTTTTTTGTTTTACATGTGAAAACGTGTAAAAAAAACTTTTATCTACATTTTTTTTTTTCATATTTGAAAATATGTAAAAAAAAGTAGATCTACTTTTGTAGCTACGAATTTGAACGTCGATCTGTTTGGACCTTTTAAGGGCTAAATGAAGTCAACCTCTTACATCAGCTGTGACTGTTATTTAGCAGACTAACCATTTATGCCTCTACCCTTTAATACAAGCACCACTCTCCCTTCGTCCCCATAGAACGCTGAATGACCCATATGGGTTGAGCATTATTTTTTTTTCTTTTAGGTAAACCATTTAAAAAAAAATTACCTAACATTATTTTAAATTTGTGACTTTTTTTTTTTTTTTTTTTTTATCTTTAACTTGAGTGCTAGTATGGTATGGGTATGAATGTACAGTATTGACAAGTGATGAATGCCCTAATAGTTCTAAGTTCTCTTTAAATATCGCAACTTCCCTTACCCCTTGCCTCCCCTTGTCAGATTGTTATATCCTCTCACTTAAGTTGATTCCTTCGTGTGTTGTTTTAGGAAGTTACAGACTGCAGAGTCTGTGGGGGTGGGTCATATGGCTCCCATTTTATTTTGTCTGGGTTGAAATTGCCTAGGATTATTTAATTAACTGACCATTTACTATGTCAGCCATTTACTATGGCTTCAGGGTTTGGAAGGTTTTTGTAGATTGAGTCATGTGTTTGTCAGAGAACTGTATGTTACAGCCACGAAGACCCCAGGATCTGTCACAGTAATTATTCTTGTGTTGTCTTTGAGAAATCCATATAAGCAGTCATAAGTTCAAGCCTCCAGCCATTACTGATAGGTTGTGCTGCTAATTATCGTCTTTTACAAGCATGCCAGCTGTTGCTCATAGAGTGGGTCATCATCTGATGAACCTCTGTGTTAGGAGATAATTGTCTCCTGACGCAGAAATAATACACCACTATATAACTTCCTTGGTGTTTCATGAGAATGAGATAAATACATCAGAAAATATTTCCTTTTCATCGTGGTCCAATTAAAATTTTGAGGAACAAAGGAAATCCTGATCAAATCAGTTAACTTGGCTTTAGTGATTGTGATGATGCCTGGGCAGTTTTTAATTCTTTTAGTGTGCTGATCTTATTTTGGGAGCCTCTCTTGTTGTCATGAAGTCCTGCATGTCAAATGATTGATTAATTTAGAGAGCTGGAAAATGTTTGGTCCTAATTAATTTAGGGGGCTGGAAAATATTTACTCGTGATTAATATAGGGGATTGGAAAATATTTGGTCATGGTCTTTTAGGTAAAAGATGAGAGTCTGGAGTTGGAGTTGAGGATATTCCTTGGTAAAGTATGAGGGGTGATTGCATTTACTATGGATGATTGATGGGCTAGTGTGAGTGTGGGTGGAGTTACCATAAAACATATACAGAAGTATCAGTATTTATGAAACTAGTTTCAGCTCTTCAGAGGCTGTACTCCCTGTTCCCATTATACTCCTCTGTAAACAATTGACTGGTGCCCACAGGAGGGGTATGGGGTGAATGCTGCCCATACACTGGTCATGGAGTGCATAAAATCATCAAACTATGTCTTTGGAGATAGGGTATGTAAATAGTATATAGGTACTATATAACATAACGCGCATATGAAGAAATACAGAATCATGAATTGCATCTGACCGTTATAATTATTTATACATGAGATTCTGCTTCTTTTTAGGCATTTCTTCACCAGCTGAGAAGGTTTTCAAACATTTTTATTAATTATTTAAATGTTAACCACTTTGAAAACTTCTGAACTGGTGCTTCCATTGTACCAAAAAAAAAAAGTGTACTGGTGGGGTCAAATATTTTTTTGTCTGTGTAAAGGACAAGGATTGAACACAGGAATTTTCTGTAAGAAAACTCAGTGATTAACGATGTTCAAGTGTTAAAATGAGTGCAATCCTTGCCCTCTGCCAACAACCACAAACTGCATTTCAGCTAAGAAGCCAGAAGCCAGCACCCCTCCCGCATCTGCAGCATCAAGCACCGGCATCGGGGACACTGACTACCGTCAGTTTACGTCACCACCAAAGAGGCCGGCCACCGACGAAAATATTTCCCCACCCAAACCCGACAACATCATTGATGAGTAAGTTGTTTTTCCTTTTGTTGCTGGTCAGTGTGGGCATGTAAATTACTTTTTTCTTGTTAGGTAGCTGTTGTATGAATCAGCCAACAACTGGTGGGCAAAAGACAGGATAAAGGTTTTATCATTGCAACATTTCACTTGCAAGAAGTTGACAGTCTTGTAGGCAAAATATTGCAATGATAAAATATCTCCATTAGCTGTGTGGCTCTTTTTCCTCTATTTTGTAAAGTTTATTTCAACAATAACTGCCATAAAACAGTAAGTGTTTGTTTCATTTGTTTATTTAGTGAGGGCGGGATTTATTGATACATACTGGTTTGTTTGATGTGTATTTTAAAGCGATACATTAATATAATTTTGAGTTGTGTGAAAGCAACAATTTAGTTATGCCTGTGTACCACTACTCTGGTTTTTATACATACAGTTTGTACTGTATATTGTCGTGGCATACTCCTAAGATGTTAAGGTGGTAATGTTTATGTATAGAGGCGAGCCCCGCTTATAAAGCGAAAATTGTTGCGAAGTAAAACATAGCCGTTTTCACTTTCAAATGCATATAAAAGCCTGATAACATGTTTATATTATCATATATTAAGTGAGCAATTGAGCTAGGCCTAAAAAATGCATATTCAGTACACAAATTACTTACCTTAAAATATGTTTAACCTTAGCTTATAGTGAGTGGTGAATATATTTATTGTAAGAAGCCTGAATAAATGAAGAATGGCTATAGTGAAACACTGCTGTATTAGTGAAACACTGTACAGCGGGCCCCGCCTCTATACGAGTCTCTGGCCTAGTGCATTTGCTTTAGGCCTTACAAACTGATCATCTTCGACTTTGCCAAAGAAAAATTAGATCACAGAACAGGTGGGGTTTGAACCCATGGCAGTTGTGTTGTTATGATTTCGTGAGTCAAGGCTAAGGGACCAATTACCTCAGACTACGCCTTCTCTTTGTCTTCTGTCTCCAGGATTTTAATTCATCCCTGCATTCGACTGATGAAGTCTAGTGCAGGTGAAATGTTTCATCTATAAATATACATAATATCGTACTGTTTTGTCTTGTGTTGTGAAAAGCAGGTATCATGCATTGTGAAAAAAATGTGGTGTATGGTGCCACTGTGTACAGCAGGTCCTCGTATAATGCTGTTACGCAGAACATTGTTTCGTTATAACAGTGAGAAAAAAAATTGAATGAATACAGTGAATGCAAATTATTGTAAAATAGAAATTTTTTAAGTATACAGTATTCATAAAGTGATCAATTTGCTTAAGAGGCACGTAAGTTCCCTCATCTTCTAATAACATGTTCATTTTTCCACTATAATCTACCTTGTCCATAATTACTATCGCATTTGCTTTGCTTTCGTAAGGTGAAGTCCAAGATCTTTCCTCAATTCATGGTATAACTTAACAAATCTCTGATGACAATTGTGTTGCAGAGGTCTGAGTGAAGCTCAGATCCTAGACTTCACCTTGAAAAACAAAGCAAATGTCATAGTATTTATGGACGAGGTAGATTATAGTGGAGAAATGAACATGCTGTTAGATGACGTGGGTACTTACATGCCCCTTAAAGCCACAGTTTCCAAGAACCTGTTGATAATGTTAAGTGAGGACTCGCTGTACATGGCCATGTTGATTGTGTCTAGTGGTGTGGATTTTGTTTTACTCTGAAGAACTTAACATGCAACCAAAGAATGGGGCTTTTCAAAATTAAAAATGTAATGGACTAGCTTACATATATATGAAGATTAGCATTATGGAAATGCAGAAACAGATTCTGGTAGGATGTAATTTTCATAAGATACCATATTTCGCAGCTTATAAAACTAGTTTTAGTTTCAATAGCTCGGCATCAGACGTAACTGGGAGAGCGATAGCCCACCCTACATCCCAAACTTATAGCTCCCATCACTGACCTTCAATTTATAGGATGCAGGCTGGTTTTTGGAGACATTTTATAGAAAAAACAATGCAACTAATAAGCCGCAAAATATGGTGAAGGTAAACTTTAGATTAATTAGACATAAAGTTGATGAGGTACAATTTTGTCGAAATCCTCTTTTTGTAACTATGTTTTATTACTAAAAACGTGTAATTTATTTGAGTGACAAATATGTATTAGCACCAGAAATATAATACTTTTTAGATTTACAAGCTAGAACACATTCTGAATTTCTTATCAGTGAGATTTTACAATATACTGTACTGTAAATTTGCTGTAGACTGATGGTTTGTAGTGTATTGGTTATTATATGTTTTACCAGTGTGTGTGTGTGTGTGTGTGTGTGTGTGTGTGTGTGTGTGTGTGTGTGTGCTTGTTTATGTATTTGTTTGTTTGTCTAACCTGATTTCACTGGCATGTTTAGTATGTATGTTAGTGTGTGTGCATGCGTGCACGCACTCATTTGTGGATGCAGGCATTGATTCTCAGATCCTGGCCCCACCTCTTTATTTGCTGCTCTCCAGTTTTACTTCCTTGTAGCCTCATGAGCCCTATTGTATCTGCTCTTGAAACCATGTATGTATCCTGTCTCCACCACTTCCGCACTAAGATCATTCCACTTCCTGACCACTCAGAGACTGAAGAAATACTTTCTAACATCCCTGGATTCATCCTTTTCTTTAACTTTCAGTTGTGTCCCCAAGTTCTCATTTCTCTGCTCTTGAACAGCCTATTCCTGTCTTCCTTATCAATTTCTCTTAAGTATTTTATATGTTATTATATCTCCTCAGGTTTTCTGTTCTCCAGTGCTAGATTTTTTCCATTAACCTCTTCTTATAGTTCTTACCCCTTATTACACTGACTTGTCTAGTGTGTGTGTGTGTGTGTGTGTGTGTGTGTGTGAGTGTGTGTGTGTGAGTGTGTGTGTGTGAGTGTGTGTGTGTGAGTGCATGTGTGTGTGTGAGTGTGAGAGTGTGTGAGTGTGTGTGAGTGTGAGTGTGTGTGTGTGTGAGTGCATGTGTGTGTGTGTGTGAGTGTGAGAGTGTGTGTGGTGTGTGTGTGAGTGTGAGAGAGAGAGAGAGAGAGAGAGAGAGAGAGAGAGGGAGGGTACAGTTTTCTGTAGTGTGTGTAAAGTACAGTTTTGTGTATTGTGTGTGTGTGAAGGAGGGGGGATATACTGATTGCACTGGCTTGTTTACTGATTATGCTAGCTTGCTTAGTGTGTGTGATATACATTCTTACAAAGTTTGTATGTGGAGACTTAACAGCTACACTGGCTTGTGTAATGTGCGTGTGTTACTGTGTTATTATTGCACTAGTCAATTCTGATTTCCAACACGTGTTTTTTGCACCTCTGCTTTGCAGGAAACCGACAGAGCTGCGTCAAGATCTTGGGTAAGACATTGTCTTTGTTGTGAAGGACTGGGTGGGGGTTTAGAGAGACGGAGAGAGGGTTGGTAGTAGATTATGCTTGTGACAGAGCTGCATAACTTTTTTCTTTTTTTAAACACATTGGCTGTTTCCCACTGAGGCAGGGTGACCCCCCTCCCCCCCCCCCCCCCAAAAAAAAAAAAATCTGTTACACAGCTTTCTGCATTAATTAACCCTTAAACGGTCCAAACAGATCGACGTTCAAATTCGTAGTGCTACAAAAGTAGATCTACTTTTTTTACATATTTTCAAATATAACAAAAAAAATGTAGATAAAAGTTTTTTTTACACGTTTTCACATGTAAAAAAAAAATCTACATTTTTTTTACATACTTTCAGATGTTGAAAAAACGTATATATACGTTTGGACCATTTAAGGGTTAATGTGAAGTTTATAATGTAAGGTATTTTTATTGTGAATACATGCTTAAATATATTATTGTCACACACTGCAAACACCTTGCATTGTAAGCTTCACATTAACCCTTTCAGGGTCCGTGCCATAGATCTACGGCTTTACGTTCAGGGTCCAGACCGTAGATCTATGCCATGAGCTCAGCTCACTCTGATAAGCTGTGAGCAGTAAATTTGGGCCTAGATATGAGAGAATACATCTATGTGGTATGTGTGCACCACATAAAACAAATCCTGCAGCACACAGTGTATAATGAGAGACAAAAAACTGAGACCGTGATTTTCGATTAAAACAGCGACTTTGCAGTGCTTTTTTGTATGTTTTTTATAGTTGTATTTGCGATTTCTTGGTCTCAATTGATAGAATGGAAGACATATTACAGAAATAGAGATGATTTTGATTGGTTTTAGCACTGGAAATGGCTTGAAACTGAGCTCAAAGTAGTGGAAATGTTAAATTTTTGCAGATGTTCAAGAGTAAACAAACAACCTCACACGTCTAATACACGCCAGCTGGTGGGTCTAATATACATTCACAAATGTGGTGATGATATTTATACAATTATTACAATATTGCATAACAGTAAATCTTCTATTTTTTGGTTTGAATAAAAATTTATTATGTGAATAAAAAATCAAAATGGAATTCATTTGTAAAGCCTCAAGATGTAAGTAATGAACAGAGGAAATGTTAGTTTAGTGCCAGGAATACCTTCATTGTTTATTCTGGACCCTATTTTGAAATTGGAATATTTTGAACTTTGTGTTAAATTGGCCAAATTACTAATTTCCGATCACTTTATTTTGTAGTTGAAACAGTTGACTTGGCGATTTCTTGTGCTCAATCGATAGAATAAAAGTAATACTAGTGAAATAACTAAGAATTTGGTCGACTGGAATAATGTAATTGGCCTAAAATGGGAGTCAAACTGCCAATTCATAAATATCGCTGACACATCAAAGTTCGCGAGAGCATAAGTTCATCAATTTTCCATCAAATTTCGTACTTTTTGTTTTATTACCTTCAGAAAAAGATTCTCTACCATTTCATAAGAAAAAATAAAAAAATTTTTTTTTTAAATTCTTGGACCCTGGTGCACACTTTGAAATTTGGCCTCTGGACCCTGAAAGGGTTAACTCTTAACCCTTAAACGGTTCAAAGGTATATATACGTTCACTCGCGTAGCGCCCCAAATTTTTTGAGAGAAAAAAAAAAAATATTTTAAAAGGAAAAAAGAGCATATGATACCCAGGCACCCCCAATTATTTTAATATGGCACACAGTGAGTGCACACACCCATTCTCTTATGTCTAGGTGACTCAGGCTTATTGTGGCAATGTTGAATGAATGACAAAGAAAACGTATATATACGTTTGGGGCGCTACGCGCGTGAACGTATATATATGTTTGGACCGTTTAAGGGTTAAACTGTCCAAACATAGATCTACATTGACGTGCGTAGCACTTCGACCTTTAGTTTCTCCATTTGAAAGCATGTAAAATTGGACGTAGATCTACGTTTGGAGCACTACGCACGTCAACGTAGATCTATGTTTGGACAGTTTAAGGGCTAATGTAGAAACCTTGTGTAACAATCATCACCCCTCATTCAGAGGATTAAAATATTTCGCCGTTCACTTGACTGTTACTCAGGGGGTTAGTTTTTGTTGGGAATACCAGTTTAAATATGGGAAATGGTTTTGATTTTTTGTTCATGTTATTGAAAACCAGCTTATTTGGGTTAACCCTTCTTGGATGACTTTCCCAGAATCGCATACGACCCGTAAATGGGTATACATGTATTTTGGTTTTGGCAGGAACCAAGCAGAAAGCAAGTTTTTGGTAATGTAATAATAATAGAGGGAAATGGCTGACGTGATAAAGCAATTAATACTGTAAGTCCTTGACTTAAAAACACATTGAGAATCTTCTGTATTTTGTGTATATCATTATTGTGTATATTATTATTATTATTATACATAATACAGAAGGAGGGGTGTTAATGTTGCAGTTTAAAAACTGTAGTGTAAAGCACCCTTCTGGCAAGACAGTGATGGAGTGAATGATGGTGAAAGTTTTTCTTTTTCGGGCCACCCTGCCTTGGTGGGAATCGGCCGGTGTGATAATAAAAATAAAAAATAACAGAAGGTCACCAACACGTTCGTAATTGAATACTTCCTGTATTATGAATGTTGTACACAATTCAAGGGGTCCCCAATTTGTTTGTAAATCAAGGACTTACTGTAATAGATTCAGAAATGATAGTTGGGAAGTACTCAGTTCCTCACCCCCACCCATTCCCTAGTAATGAGCTCTAACCATTTTTTTAATCTTCAGATTCATGTTTCCTGTATTTAGAATGGGTTTTTCTTATACAGAAGCTTAAGATATTTATTGCATTACATCTCTGCTGTAAATTATTAAAGGCTCAGCCTTGCTCACCCTCCTCAAATTATTCACCAAAGATCTCTGCATGTTTTATATGACTTAAATAATTGTGATGTGAATGCCTCTAGAAATGGTTACTCAGTATATGAGTGTCTTTGTATACAATACAGGATGGCCCCATATATACACCATTTATTTTTGGTGCTCCATGTTTTTGTCTGGTGGAACATAATAAACAATGGCTCAGTTTGAAGCCAACAAGAACATGGACTGCTGAACAGAAGGAGATATAGTATATGCAGGGTCCTCCTGTATCTTTATTTCTGATAAGCTGTGTTGTAGATGCTTGGGAGATGGTGTAGAGGAATTATTTCAGTATCATTAAATTAAGCTTGTAGACATTTTCAGAAAGGTATTGTTTATATATATATATTTTTTTTCAACTAGTCAGCTGTCTCTCACCGAGGCAGGGTGACCCAAAAAGGAAGAAAATCCTCGAAAAGAAAATACTTTCATCATCATTCAACACTTTCATCTCACTCACACACAATCACTGTTTTTGCCAAGGCACCCAGATACAACAGTTTAGAAGTAAATAAAACAGTTTACAGGCATATAAAACATGCCCTTCCAAACTGCCAGTATCCCAAACCCCTCCTCTAAAGTGCAGGCATTGTACTTCCCATTTCCAGAACTCAAGTCCTGCTATATAAAAATAACTGGTTTCCCTGAATCCCTTCACTAAATGTTACTCTGCTCACACTCCAACAGCTCGTCAGGCCCCAAAAACCATTTGTCTCCATTCACTCCTATCTAACATGCTCACACATGCTTGCTCGTCCACAAAACCTTTACCCCCTCCCTCCAGCCTTTTCAAGGACGACCCCTAACCCGCCTTCTTTTCCCTACAGGTTTATATGCTCTCCATGTCATTCTACTTTGATCCATTCTCTCTAAATGACCAAACCACCTCAACAACCCCTCCTCATCCCTCTGACTAATACTTTTATTAGCTCCACACCTCCTAATTTCCACACTCCAAATTCTTTGCATAATATTTGCACCACACACTGCCCTTAGACAGGACATCTCCACTGCCTCCAACCGCCTCCTCGCTGTAGCATTTACAACCCAAGCTTCACACCCATATATGAGTGTTGGTACTACTGTACTTTCATACATTCCCCTTTTTGCCTCCATGGATAACATTTTTTGACTCCACATATACCTCAATGCACCACTCTCCTTTTTTTCCTTCATCAGTTCTTTGGTTAACCTCATCCTTCATAAACCCATCCGCTGACACGTCAACTCTCAAATACGTATCTGAAAATATTCACTTGTTCCATACTCCCTCTCTCCAGTGTGATATCCAATTTTTCTTTATCTAAATCATTTGATACCCTCATCACCTTACTCTTATTGATGTTCACTTTCAACTTCCTACCTTTACACACCCTCCCAAACTCATTCACTAACCTTTGCAATTTTTCTTTAGAATCTCCCATAAGCACAGTATCATCAGCAAAAGTAACTGTGTCAATTCCCATTTTGTATTTGATTCCCCATAATTTAATCCCACCCCTCTCCCGAACACCCTAGCATTTACTTCTTTTACAACCCCATCTATAAATATATCAAACAACCATGGTGACATTACACATCCCTGTCTAAGACCTACTTTTACCGGGAAGTAGTCTCCCTCTCTTCTACACACCCTAACCTGAGCCTCACTATCCTCATAAAAACTCTTTACAGCATTTAGTAACTTACCACCTATTCCATATACTTGCAACATCTGCCACATTGCTCCCCTATCCACTCTATCATATGCCTTTTCTAAATCCATAAATGCAATAAAACTTCCCTACCTTTATCTAAATACTGTTCACATATATGCTTCAATGTAAACACTTGATCTACACATCCCCTACCCACTCTGAAACCTCATTGCTCATCCACAGTCCTACATTCTGTCTTACCTCTAATTCTTTCAATAATAACCCTACCGTACACTTTTCCTGGTATACTCAGTAAACTTATTCCCCTATAATTTTTACAATCTCTTTTGTCCCCCTTCCCTTTATATAAAGGGACTATACATGCCAATCCCTAGATACCTTCCCCTTTTTCTTACATTTATTAAACAAAAGTAATACCAACCACTCCAACACTATATCCTCCCTCTTTGCTTTTAACATTTCTGTCATGATCCCGTCAGTTCCAGCTGCTTTACCCCCTTTATTTCTACGTAATGCCTCACGTACCTCCCCCACACACATCCTGCTCTTCTTCACTCCTAAAAGATGTTATACTTCCCTGGCCAATGCATGAAATTACCGCCTCCCTTTCTTCATCGACATTTAAAAGTTCCTCAAAACATTCCTGCCATCCACCCAGTACCTCCATCTCCCCATCTACTAACTCCCCTACTCTGTTTTTAACTGACAAATCCATACGTTCCCTAGGCTTTCTTAACTTGTTTAACTCACTCCAAATCTTTTTCTTATTTTCATCAAAATTTCTTGACAGTGCCTCTCCCACTCTATCATCTGCTCTCCTTTTGCACTCTCTTACCACTCTCTTAACCTTTCTTTAACTCTCCATATACCCTACTCTTCTTATAACACTTCTGTTTTGTAAATACCTCTTATAAGCTACCTTTTTCTCTTTTATCACACCCTTTACTTCATCATTCCACCAATCACTCCTCTTTCCTCCTGCCCCCACCCGCCTATAACCACAAACTTCTGCCCCACATTCTAATACTGCATTTTTAAAACTCATCCAACCCTCTTCAACCCCCCCATAACTCATACCTGCACCAGCCCACCTTTCTGCCAATAGTTGCTTACATCTCACCCGAACTTCCTCCTCCCTTAGTTTATACACTTTCACCTCCCTCTTACTTGTTGTTCCCATTTTCCTCTTATCCCGTTTTTTTTTTTAACACAGGGTTTGACAAGGTTAAGGATCCCTAGCTTTATTGACAAGCTATTTATAGGTTAAGGATTCCTAACTTTATTGACAAGCTAAGAGCTGTTACCTACATCAGCTCATTTGAAAGCAATTTTATTGTTATGAGACATACAAGTAGGGAACAGGATGAAGTTGGAGCCATCTGTTGGCCAGCATTTTCTTTTGATCAACTGACTTTTTCTCGTTGACATCATTATGCTGTACGAATGTGTTCCAGACTCGAGTCATCCTGGGTATATAGGATCTCAGATGGAGTGATGTTCTGGAGAAGGGTACAGCCAGAGTGAAGTTGCTGCTTTCTGCCCATCTTGTGGCATAAAAGCTTGTTTCACACTGTCCTCGAAGTGGATCCAAGTGTGGTACTTTGACAATATTGGCCTTGTACATAACAGTAAGGCCACCCACATCCCTCCTATGTTGAAGGCTCTGCTGAAATGACAGATCTATCCAGGATGGGTCCAGGTGAGAGATGAGACGTCTTGCTCTGTTCTCTACTCTGTCAAGCAGTCGCAGATGAGAGGGGGGGCAGGCAAACCAAGAAAGTGGAGCATACTCAAGGTGCGAGCGGACTTGTGCCTCATACAGAATCTTGCAACCCCTACTGTCAAGTAGATGCGAGATACGGCGAAGTGCTGTAAGCTTCCTGGCTGCCTTGTTTGCAAGATTTACAACATGGTTCTTCATGGTTAGTTTGGAGTCAAATTTCACCCCAAGGATATCAACTTCTTCTCCAGGTGCCAACACCCTCCCATTCATCCTTACTACTGCACCAGCATTACCATCATGGTGCCTAGAGACGATCATCATTTGCGTTTTCTCAGGTGCAAATGTTACTTGCCATCTATTTCCCCAAGCTGATATAGCTCTCAGCTGGTGATTGATGTAGCTTAGAGCAGCTGGCATTTCTTCTCTTGGATAAGTGAATGTCAATGTGCAGTCGTCTGCATATGCATGTGATTCTGGGATGAGATGAAGAAAGTCATTGACATTCCATAACAATGGTCCCAGCACGCTTCCTTGTTGAACACTTGCCCCAATAGGATGTCTTGCTGATTCCGTTCCATTGAGAACTACACTTAGAGATCTACCATGAAGGTAATCACTGAGGAGACATAGCGTAGAGCCTGCAATTCCCAGTGCTTGAAGTTTTGCTAAGAGGCCCTGGTGCCACACCCGGTCGAAATCGCCAGCAATGTCCAGTGCTACCACACAGCTGACTTTGGATTCATCCAGTGACTGGTGCCACTTAGTGGAGAGGTTTAACAACAGATCAGCAGCAGAGTAACCTTTCCTGAAGCCATATTGACGATCACAAAGTAGTGAGTGGTAGTCAAAAAACGCTGTCATTTGTCTTGAGATTATTGTCTCAAGGATCTTACCAGTGATTGACAGGAGTGACACTGGTCTGTAGTTGCTGATTTCTGCTCTGCTCTTCTTTTTGTGAACAGGGACTACATTTGCCTCTTTCCATAGAGAGGGCCATTTACACTGTACTAGGCAGTGCTGAAAGATGCGAGTTAGAGGTGCTGCTAGCTGGTCTGCACATCTTCTCAGCAATCTTGGGCTCAACTTGTCTGGGCCCACAGCCTTTTCTTGGTCAAGCGATTTAAGAAGGAAATGCACCTCCTCCTGCCTTATTGTCACCACTGACAGTTTTGACACAGTTCTTGCAGCTAGCCAAGGATCAGGAACTTGCATTTTGGTAACAAAGTGTTCAGCAAAGAGGTCCGCCTTCTCTTGACTACTAGTAGAGGTGGTCCCATCCTGTCGATTTAGAGGTGGAATGAGTTCATCAGGCAGATAACCTTGTCTGTCCTTGACCAGGGACCACCAAGTTTTGGAGCCTACCCTACCTGATGCTAGCTTTCTTTTAGTGTCCACCTCCCATTTAGCAATGGCCCACTTTTGAACGTCACCCATATGTCTACAGGCTTGCCTGTGAAAGTTCCTGTTATAGGCGGTAGGATGTCACTTATACCTTCACCATGCTTTGTACTTAGCAGTAGCAGCCTCTCTACAACGAAAGCCAAACCAAGGCTGATCTGTAGGCTTCGTCACATATTGCCGGTGAGGAATGTGTTCTTGTTGTAGATTAAGGATGTGTCCAGTGAAGGCTTTCACTTGGTTGTCAACATCCCCTTGGAGAAGAGCATTCCAATCGGTGGTGGCGAGCTGAGCGAAGGGCTGGCCAATTACCTCTTTCCCATAGCCAGGTTGTGCGTGTGGACTCCTCACCTCGTTCTGTTGGGATCTTAAGTGTCATAAAAACAGCCTTGTGGTCAGACGATCCAACATAGCCGAGGGATTGACAAGTGACTATGCCTTCTGCCAGATCACTCACTACTGGGTCAAGGGAGGAGCCAGAGATGTGAGTAGGGAAATCAACAAAGTTTCTCATGTCAAACACTGCAAGAAGGTCATCAAAGTCCCTCTGTATAAGGTGCTGGTTGAGGTCACCAACAATTATATGTTGACAGTTGTGTTGTAGCAGAAGGGAGTCAATATTTTCCATTAGGAAGTTGATGGGATCTCCATGTTGCCACTGAGGTCTGTACATTGCATATGCTAGTACAGAGGTACTAGTGTTTATGCAGAGCTTGAAGAACATCATTTCAAGATGTGTAGGGGTGGCAACATCAATGTGCTGGGCATGAACACTTTTAGAGAAGCACACAGCAACACCTCCTCCTTGCCCTTGCCTGTCTCTTCTCATCCATGAGGTGTAGCCAGCAATTCTTGCAAAATTTTCTGGAGTCCTGTCATCCAAAAATGTTTCAACAACAGCTATCATGTCGGGACGTCGAGTGTTCACAAAACTGTGTGAGAGCTCTCCAACATTAGTAATGAAACCTCTAATGTTGGCCGACAGGATGCTGATAGACTGGCTCCTCATGATGATGTGGTCTCTCTCTCTCTCTCTCTCTCTCTCTCTCTCTCTCTCTCTCTCTCTCTCTCTCTCTCTCTCTCTCTCTCTCTCTCTCTCTCTCTCTCTCTCTCTCTCTCTCTCTCTCTCTCTCTCTCTCTCTTCTCTCTCTCTCTCTCTCTCTCTCTCCTCTCTTCTCTCTTTCTCTCTTTCTCTCTTTCTCTCTTTCTCTCTTTCTCTCTTTCTCTCTTTCTCTCTTTCTCTCTTTCTCTCTTTCTCTCTTTCTCTCTTTCTCTCTTTTCTCTCTCTTTCTCTCTCTTCTCTCTCTCTCTCTCTCTCTTTCTCTCTCTCTCTCTCTCTTTCTCTCTTTCTCTCTTTCTCTCTCTCTCTCTTCTCTCTCTTTTCTCTTTCTCTTTCTCTCTCTTTCTCTTTCTCTCACACACACTCACACACACTCACTCACACACTCACACACACACACACACACACACACTCACACACTCACACCACACACCACTCACACACACTCACACACACACTCACACACACACACTCACACACACACACTCACACACACACACACCACACACTCACACACACTCACACACACTCACACACACACACTCACACACACACACACTCACACACACTCACACACACACACTCACACACACACACACTCACACACACACACACACTCACACACACACTCTCTCTCTCTCTCTCTCTCTCTCTCTCTCTCTCTCTCTCTCTCTCTCTCTCACTCATACACTCACACACACACTAACTTAGTGGATGTTTTCCAGAATAAGATTGGTGAGAAAATTTGTAATATAAGATTGAAAGTGCCTGGAGTAAGCATGCCTTGGAATTCTTTATACTAATGCAGTGGTATTGGCTATTGCTTAAATTGGTGGTTATTTGCAGGTTCTGGCAAAACGTATGATGATAGAATAATGAGATTAAATTATAACTACTGTACTAAATTGTATGTAATTATGGTATTAACATGGGTGTATATCCTGTTACAGATTGTTTAGCAAAAAAGATGTGGATTACCGACAGCTGCTGCCCCGTCCTGGACTCCTGCCTAATCCAGGCCTGCCATCTGCATTTAACACGATGGACCAAGACGATCGTAATCCTAGCAATAGGGATCAGCCACTCCGTGATCCCCTTGCGCCTCTCAACACGTCAGAAAATCAAGCTTCCAAAGTGCCTCATTCCAAAGAGATGGATACTAGTGGCATGGAAAGTCCACTAACGTGTTCTGTGGATCCTCGTATGAGGAAACACAGTTTCAATAGCCCTCATGCTGCGTCGTGGGAGAAGTTTCGGGAGAAAAATCCCGAGTTCAAGGAATACCAGAGGCAGGCTAGCATGTCAGGTAAGCTTTGTCAGTTGATTAAATTATAAATTTCATCTATGATACAGCTGCCTGTGGTACTTGACATTGTTTTAATTGCTTGAAGGAAGTCTTTAGAATTTGTTAAAATTAATTTTTTTTTATTTGTCTTGCACAAAGAACAAAAAGACACAATATGTAAAGTACGTAAAAGGACACAAGTGCAACTGATGTGACATTTTTATTGTGGCAACGTTTCGCTCTCTAGGAGCTTTGTCAAACCTGGAGAGCGAAACGTTGCCACAATAAAAATGTCACATTAGTTGCACTTGTGCCCTTTTACTTTACATATTGTCGGTAATTCTACCAACATTACTACAAAAAGACACAATACCTTAACTGGAACAATACACAAATAACCCACACATGGGAAACAGGAGCTTACAGCTACATTGGACTGAAATGTCATCATAAGCTCGTCTCTCCTATTTATGTATTGTCTTGTATAATAATGCATCATTTGAAAATATAAAAGACGAAATGCTGTTACTCTTGCTGAGAATGTAATATTGTATAATTTGTAAATTCTTGACAAACAGTATTGTTTATAAAATCGGAAGTAAGAAGGCATTAAATGCAGGGAAACCCTTTATTGTTACAATGTTTTTCCCACAGGCAGACTGATGAATAAGAACAGAAAGGCACATTAACGTGACTGGAACAATGCACAGATAACTCGCATGAAGAAGAGTAAATCTAGACCATCATTCTTGTCATATTTTTCAAACTACTTGATAACTATGTCAGACTATCCATGAATATTTTAAAACTTATACCTGTATTCTTCAATCTGTTGAATAATGACTGGGAATCAATGAGATTGGTCACTTCCTCTTCCAGTCGATTCATCTGCTCACATGTGTCAGAAAGAAGCCTATGGCGATGCTTCAGTTCAACTTGAACTATTTACAAGTCATAAGTGCAACTTATAAATAGTCCAAGTCAGACTGTAATGTCGTTGTAAGCTTCTCTCTCGTGTGTGCGCGTTATTTGTGTATAGGATAATCCAGTACTTGTTCTTGATAAAGCTTGCCCATGGGTGAAACATTGTACCATTAAAAGGCTTTCCTACATTTAATGTCTTAACGTATGCTGGCATTTTACACCTTATTCCTACATTCTCAGAATCAGATAGAAGTTTCTTGCTGGATGATGAGGATCAAGACATGGCTTTCTGCGATAGTCAACATGAACCCCTCAGCCGTGGGCACAGCTTCCGCAGCAGAGGTTATGGAGACTGGAGGGACAGGGGACAGAGCAGACACAAAGGTAATTTTAGTGTTAATGAAATATGTGATATTGAACATTGGACAAAATCTGCTGGGTCAGTTAATTTGTAAATACCAAAGTCCTTATGTCACAGTATTGTGTGTTGTTGTTAGGATTGTGGCAAAATAATTTGTGCTCCAAAAAGACCACTATCAGCCATCTACTCCCCACTATTAGTTTGTTAAATTGAAGCCCCACTTCTGTACTTTTTTATATGCTTTGTGGAATATTAGGAAAATAGAAAATGAAGAGTTAAAATGAGTATTTTTGTTTTATTAGATGCATAAAATTACATATAACCCTTGTCTATTCAAAAACCACTGACAGTATTTACTGCATATAGTTTATTGGCACTCAATGGGAAAGTGGAGAAGAATCCTTCCTCTGTAAGTCATGCATGTCATAAGAGGCGACTAAAATGCCAGGAGCAAGGTGCTGGTAACCCCTTGTCCTGTATACATTACTAAATGTAAAAGAAGAAAAACTTTTAAGAGCATTTCTGCTTTTTTGGCTCCCCGTGCCTTGGTGGGAGACGGCCAGTGTGTAAAACAAAAATATAATAGTGGCAATATGTAAAATGATAAGAATAATTAAGGTGTTTTTTTCACTTGCAGATGGGAGGAGACCGTGGTCTCAAGAGGAAGAAGATAGTCTTGGTCCTCAAGGAAGAAGCAAGGCTGCCCAAGAAAATTTCAAGGTGAGTTCTTATTTTATTGAACGTCAGGCCTACTCTCCCATACTTGGCATGTCCTTCTCAAACCCAAACCCACTAATAAAAATATTTGTCCAACCCATTTTCATTGCTACCCAAACAATAAGCTTTGTTAACCCTATTAACAAAAATGCACGTCTCACTTAAATCCAATCCCTCTCACTCGTGTAATTTTTTTTTATAACACACCAGCTGTCGTTGTCCCACCGAGGCACGGTGATCCTAAAAGAGAAACATTTTCACTATCATTCAACACTTTCACCATCATTCAACACTCACCATCATTCACACATAAACACTGTCTTCACAGAGGTGCTTAGATACAAAAATTTAGATTTCACTCCAAACTGCCAGTATCCCAAACCTCTCCTTTAACCCTTACAGGGTCGGCAGGCCCTCTGAGACTTGTTCTCAGGGTCGGCCAAATTTCAAAAAAAAAAAAAAAAAAAAATCTTATGAAAAGATAGATAATCTTTTCCCGATCATATTGACACCAAAAGTATGAAATTTGATGGAAAACTTAGGGAATTATGCTCTCGCGAAGTTAGCGGTCTCGACGATGTTTACGCATCGGCAATTTTGCCCACTTTGAACCCTATTTTCGGCCAATTTCAGTGTACTTGTCGACAAAAATCATAACTATTTCGCTAGAACTTCATTTTTTCTATCGAATGAGTACAAGAAACCACCCATTTACTGATTTCAACTATCCAATACAGTGGTCGGAATTTAGCAATTTTGCCAATTTCACACAAATTTCAAAAGATGCCAATTTCCGAATAGGGTCCAGAATAAACAAGAAAGACACATTCCTGGCACTAAAATAACATTTCCTCTGTTCATCAGTCACGTCCCCAGGCCCCTCTTACATTCTTTTGCTTTCCACTTTGAATTTTTATTCTCACAAAAAATAGAAGATTTACTGTTATGCAGACTACTGCATTAGTGTAAAAAATGGTATAAATAATATCAGTGCACTTGTGAAAGAATATTAGACTCACCAGTTGATGTGTATTGGACGCTTGGCACGATTTGTTTACTTTTGAACTTTGATAAAAATCGAACATTTCTGCTACTTTGAGCTCAATTTCAAGGTACTTTGCATTGTAAAACCAGTCAAAATCATCTCAATTTCTGTAGTATATCTTCCATTCTATAAAATGAGACCAGGAAAACTAGAATACAACAATAAATACCATACGAAAATGCAGTGCAAAGTCGCTAGTTGGACGAATCTTATTGTGGCTAGCTGGTCCAGTGGCTAACGCGACGGTCTGGAGTTTTGAGACTCTGACCACGGGTTCAAATCCTGCCCGTGGTATGGTTTGTTTGCAATCGTGTCATTACGATTTCATGAGTCAAGTAACATTTAGTAACTTACTGCCTATTCCATACACTTGCAACATTTGCCACACTACTCCCCTATCCACCCTATTATCATATGCCTTTTCTAAATCTATAAATGGAACAAAAACTTCCCTACCTTTATCTAAATATTGTTCACTTATATTCATCAGTGTAAATATTTGGTCAGTAAACTAAGTCCCCTATAATTTTTAAACTCTTTTTGTCCCCCCTTCCATTTATATGAAGGAACTATGCATGCTCTATGCCAATCCCTAAGTACCTTCTCTCTGATACACACATTGAACAAAAGTACCAACCATTCCAGAACTACGTCTCCACCTGTTTTTAATATTTCTGTTATGATCGTGTCAGCTCCAGTTGCTTTACCCCCTTTCATTCTTCCCAATGCCTTATGCACCTCCCCCACACTCACATCCGGCTCTTCTTCACTCGTAAAAGATGTTAAACCTCCCTGGCCATTGGATGGAATTACTGCCTCCCTCTCTCTATTAACATTTTTTACAGTTCCTCAAAATATTCCCACCATCTTACCAATGTGGACCCTCGGCTAACGCCTTTAATCTGTTCCAGAGAGCTAGCCTTTAGCCGAATTAATTTTCCCCATAATTAATGGAAATCCAATTAATCCGTTCCAGACACCCAAATGTATTAAGCAAAATAATTTTTTTACATGAAGAAATAAACATTTCCCTACACAGAAAACAATGATACATGCACAATAAACAATACTAAAATGACACTTACCTTTATTGAGGACTTATTGATGAGTGATGAGATGGGAAGAGGGCAGAGGATGGAGGAGTTTACAATTTGGAAGGGGAATCCGCCTTTCATAAAGACTTTAGGTAACAAGTCCTTTTCTGGGGTTACCTCCCTTCTTGGTTTTTTAATGCCACTATGACCAGTTGTGTGTCACTGGACCACCATTACTACCACTCTCTACCACCATCACAACCACTACCACCCTCTACCACCATCATAACCACTACCACCATCACAACCACTACTGCCCTCTACCACCACCACTTTCGTATTTTTCTACAAACTTTTTCTTGAATTCTGTCGTGTTTCTCAGATTCTTTACGAAAGGGTTGGTACTAGTAGCTTTTTTGGGACCCATGGTGGCTTATTTAGCAGTTACAAGCACTAAAAACAATGGAATAATACAAAATACATTGCATATACGCATGAAATCGACCACAATGGCACACTGGCTATACATGGAGTTTTGGAGTGGCCAGGCTCGCTCAGGCCGTGTGGACACGTTCAGGATGAAAGCCTAAGCTTAGCCGAGTTTTTTGGCATTGGCCGAGGCAATATTTTGACACCAAAGAGAGCTGTTAGCTGATTTTAGCATTAGCCGATGCAACCTTTAGTCAAGGGTCCACTGTACCTCCAATTCGCCATCTACTAACTCCCCTATTCTGTTTTTAAATTGTCATATCCATTTGTTCCCTAGGCTTTCTTAACCTTTTTATCTTGAAAATTTTTTCTTGTCAGCACCTCACCCCTACTATCATTTGCTTTCCTATTGCACTCCCTCATATGTTTATATATATTTGCACTATGAGAAAATGTTTTAGAACAAATGCTACACTTGTAAGGTTTTTCACCCGTATGAACTCTCATATTCTAATTCTGATAGTTAATTATAGTGTAGTGTAAAGCACCCTTCTGGCAAGACAGTGATGGAGTGAATGATGGTGAAAGTTTTTTTTTTTTCGGGCTACCCTGCCTTGGTGGGAATCGGCCAGTGTGTTAATAATAAAAAAAAAAATTATATTTTTGTTGACAGATGATTCTAAAGCAAGCACTGGAGCAGAGGGATCGTGGTGAGATCAGCGAGGCTCAGTATCAAGATATGGCTAATAAACTGAGGCTATTGACTGAACAAGAGCAGATCAGGGAGGCACGGGAACGTGAAAGACTTCTACACAGAAATATTCCACTGCAGTTTCAAGGTACGAATGTTAGTGTCTTAGTTTGTGAGATGAATTCTCTGCAGTCAACATTTTTGCATTAATGTTAGTAGAATTACTGACAGTATGTTAAGTAATAGGATACAAATGCAACTAATGTGACATTTTATTGTTTGTAACGGCTTGACAAAGCTCCTGGAGAGTGAAATGTTGCCACGATAAAATATTGCATTAGTTGCACTTGTGTCATTTTACCTAACATTTTTAGGGGTGGAAAGTATAGTGCCTGCACTCTAAAGGAGGGATTTGGGATATTTGCTGCTTAGAGTGACTTCTAAACTATCTTATCTTTACCCCTCTGGCAGTACAGTGATAGTGTGAATGATGGCGAAAGTGTTTCTTTTTCAGGTCACCCTTCTTTGGTGAGAGACAGCCAGCATGTTAAGAAAAAAAAAAAAACGTTGATTATATAGCTTGCTCTGTAGTAAGGTAAATAGTGATTTGCATATCAGTTAGGACAGTGTTTCTTTAACCCTTAAACAGTCCAAACGTATATATACGTTCTCTCGCGTAGCGCCCCAAATTTTTTGAGGATTTTTTTTTTTTTTTTTTTTTTTTTGATAGGAAAAAAGAGCATATGGTACCCAGGCATCCCCACTTTTTTTAATATGGTGCACAGTGAGTGAGCACACCCATTCTCTCATGTCTAGGCGACTCAGGCTTATCGTGGCAATGTTGAATGAATGACAAAGAAAACGTATACAGTGGACCCCCGCATAACGATCACCTCCGAATGCGACCAATTATGTAAGTGTATTTATGTAAGTGCATTTGTACGTGTATGTTTGGGGGTCTGAAATGGACTAATCTACTTCACAATATTCCTTATGGGAACAAATTCGGTCAGTACTGGCACCTAAACATACTTCTGGAGTGAAAAAATATCGTTAACCGGGGGTCCACTGTATATACGTTTGGGGCGCTACGCGAGAGAACGTATATATATGTTTGGACCATTTAAGGGTTAACAGTGGGCAGTGGCCCCCCCGCCTCTTGGGTGCTGTGAGAATGTAGACATAAACAACTGGTTGCTCGTCGCAACACAAGACAAAAATTAGGCTGAAAAATGCTGAGCTATTTATTGAAGGTGTAAGTGACTTTCTGAGTGTCGTTCCTCAGTCTCACTAAAATGGTAATTTTTTTTTTTTTAACATGCTGGCTGTTTCCCACTGAGACCTGCCGGTTTCTATGAAGGGATTCAGGGAAACCGGCAGGCCGGACTTGAGTCCTGGAGATGGGAAGTACAGTGCCTGCACTCTGAAGGAGGGGTGTTAATGTTGCAGTTTAAAAACTGTAGTGTAAAGCACCCTTCTGGCAAGACAGTGATGGAGTGAATGATGGTGAAAGTTTTTCTTTTTCGGGCCACCCTGCCTTGATGGGAATCGGCCATTGTGTTAATAATAAAAAAAATAATCTATTACTCATCGATTCTTCCTCCCAACAGGAGACGGAGATTGGTCAGGTAGTGAGGGTCCAACACCCGTCACAGCCAGTGGACTACCATCTGGTACAGGAAGCTTGGGTCCTGGTGGCCCTGGTCTAGGTCCATGTACTGCTATTCCTGGTACAGGACGAGGACGGGGCAGCCGCGAAGCTCACTTGACCTTTCCTCAGGGTGCTAGAGGCAGTCGAGGTGCTTTCTTGGGAGCCAGTGTTCCTGCTATATCACGAGGTATGGGAAGAGCTGGAAGAGGATCCTCAGGAACTGAAAATGATGCATGGGGAAGAGGAGGGATGAGAGGAAGAGGAAGAAGAGGAAGAGGTGGGCAGCAGCTGGATGACAATAGTTGGGTTTCTAAAGATGACATGTTGGAGGATGAGTGGACTGGTGAACCAGACTTGCCATTTGTGACAGAAGAGACCCTGAAGGCTGTAGCTCGTGATGCTGAAACAAGGACCATCGAAATCGATGGTGTTCCAAGGGAGATCCGTACCTACGGAGAAAATGCTGTAATTCTGCTGGATTGGGATGATCCTCGTATTTTAACGTTTGGAGAGGGGCACTGCAACATTGTCTTCGATGAAGGAAAGTTTGTGTTACCAATGAGAATAGGGGAAGATTATAAGGAATTCACCATTGCAGGGGAAACTCACCGTATTAAACTTGGTGTACCCACTCAAGAGTTAATGCTGGATGGTAGAGGGTATCAGTGTTTCTTTGGTGGCAAGCCCATAACTGTTCATCTAGCTGGCCAGCCTCGTATCGTTAGCCTGGATAGCAAACCCCCCAATGTAAATATAAGTCCTGTTAGAAATACAGAATTTTTGGCTGGTAAAATTCAGCTTGTGATCAATGCGAAGAAAGTTGTTAATCTCTTCTTGGATGCCAAGCCACAGCGATTCAACATTGATGGTAAGCCATTCATTATTCAGTTTGTTGATGCACTCAGAGCTGTAGCCATAAATAATGTCAAATTCCCAGTTGAATTTGGAGGACTACCCCTTAGCATCAGTGTGCGTGGCTACAGACGTTTCTTGCGATTCACGTCACTGCCTAAGGGTATTATTCCAGGCCAAATAATCATTCGAGGAATGGAGCTTGAAGGTCAGAAGTTGTCAAGTCTTCCAGGTAGTCCAGCACAAGAAAAAATTGTGGAGAATGCATTGAAAGTTAATCGTGGTTCACCTGCACTTGACATGTCTCGGCAACCGCCCATGGGTTACCCTGCTGACAAAACCTCAAGCAGTTGTCCAACACATGCTTCAGTGGGAATGTCCTCCATGCCTGAGGGAGTTTTTATTCCTCACCAAGTACCACCTCCTCAGGGACCTGCATCACAGGGACTACCTCCACAGGGACTTCCACAGAGACCTCTGCACTCTGGACCACCTCCACATGGCCCACCACCACATGGCCCTCCACACCAGGGTCCACCTCCAGGCCCACCACCACCTGTATCACTTTGTCCTGGTCCCATGTTGTCCCAGGCTCCACCAGCCATGGCCCTGCCAAGTGGAATAATGCCAGTGACTACTATTGGAAGTCAGCTTCCTCCACAACCAGGCTTAGGAACTCTGCCTGTTACTCTTGCCAACATGAATCATCCTCCCCCAAATACCATCCCAGGCTCATATATTACCAATCAGCTGCCACCAACTATGATCAAGCCATCACAGCCAACTCCTCACGTGCCTCTTGACCTCAATGCACTCTTGGAAAACCTCACTCGTACTGGTCTCATTGATGCCAAGGCACAAGATAAAACTAAAGGTAGAAAGGAAGAATCAGAAAAGAAAAAAGAAGAGGAAGAAGAAGAAAAAGAGAAGGAAAAAGATGAATTGATATCATTTGAATTCATGTTCAACCTGGAGAATCTCCGAAAGTAAGTGCTGATTGTTATTTTGTGATAAGTGTGCTTTTTTAAACAAATATCAATTAAAAATTTATGCGATGCCAAATTTAAGGGAAATAGAGAAGAGTAGAAGCAAGCAGGTACGCATAAATAAACTGCAAGAAAATGATGAGAGAGAGAGAGAGAAAACTGCGAAGTATGGTAGTAGATTAAGCATTAATGGGATTAAAAAAACATAAAAGAAAGAAAGGAGTTTTTTGAGAGTAAAAGCACTGACAGAGTAACTTAAGTAGTTGTGCTAAAAAAAATGTCGGGAAGATTTATAGATGTATGTAAATAATGAAACATATTTTTTTAGGGTGAGGAGGAAAGCATATTATTAGTAAATTGTTGGATATGAGTGTAAAGGAAGTAACTGAGGCAATACAGTAATTAAAAATAGCCCAGTGGTTCAATCTTAGATAGGATGTATATTTATAGAGAAAATTTATGGGAGGGATTAATAAAAATGAATATGAATTCTGAATAAAACATGATGTAAAATGAATAAAGGGATGGTGTGAGCTAGACGGTATTAAGGAGGGAGCTCTAAACTCAGGAGTTGCGTAGGAATCATCAGTGCCTCACCATCTGAAACCATGTTTTATGTAATTAAAAAACAAGCATTTTATTAGTCATAATGGTAGAATTACAGAAAATATGTTAGGTAAAAGGACATGTGCAACTAATGTGACGTTTTGAGGCAATGTCTTACTTGACAAAGCTCCTTATAAATATTTTATTTCCTAAATATTTTTAGTGTACACATTTTTACATTAGTCATTGAATTCTAATAGCCATACTATATTCCTACAGACGAAGAAAGTGGCTCATAGAATGTCTGTACCGTGGGATGCAGTGTTCATCGTGTGGGTTACGATATCCACCTGAACAAACACTTCAGTATTCTCACCACTTGGATTGGCACTTCAGACAGAACAGACGTCAGCAAGAGTCGACCAAGAAAGCCAACACGCGCAGGTTCTACTTCTCTACAGAAGACTGGTTGCAGTATGAAGAAATTGAAGATGTTGAAGAAAGAGGTAGGTCATTACTATACAGGGGCTCCTTGACACATTGATTCAACTCATTCTCTGTGGTGAGTTGAGGCAATGAGAAAAAATGCTAACAGTTGATGATGTAAGATTATAAAACCTATCTTCATAGAAATATTCAGCAAGTATATCTTTCATATTGATTAAATCTTACATATGGAAAGGTATAGGTGCTCCTCGACTCATGTTGGTGTTATGTTCCATCGAACCCGTCAGAAATAGTAATTGCTTTTGTACCATCATAAAGTTGAAATGTAAGTTGAACCATTGTAAGTCAAGAAGCACATTTACTTTATAAACATAAGAAAGAAGGAACACTGCAACAGGCCTACTGACCCATGCGGAGCAGGTTTGTGTTCCCCCCCTCCCCCCTTCCCCGGATTAGCCCAGTAACCCACCCAGTCTGGTTACCTCCACTCAAGGAAGGAGCACGGCACCAGACCCAGCAGCACAAGCTAGTCAGGTCCAACTCACACCCACCCACACCTACTCATGTATTTATCTAACCTGTTGTTAGGTAGGACACATATGCAACAGTTAGGTATCTTTATTTCGAAACGTTTCGCCTACACAGTAGGCTTCTTCAGTCGAGTACAGAAAAGTTGATAGAAGCAGAAGAGACTGATGGACTGATTACATCGTCTTCAAGTCTCTTCTGCTTCTATCAACTTTTCTGTACTCGACTGAAGAAGCCTACTGTGTAGGCGAAACGTTTCGAAATAAAGATACCTAACTGTTGCATATGTGTCCTACCTAACAACCTGTTGGTATTTTATACCATTTTAATATTCAATTTATCTAACCTATTTTTAAAACTACACGTTTTAGCCTCAATAACTGTACTCGGGAGTTTGTTCCACTCATCCACAACTCTATTACCAAACCAGTGCTTTCCTATATCCTTCCTTAATCTGAATTTTTCCAACTTGAAACCATTGCTGCGAGTCCTGTCTTGGCTGGAAATTTTCAGCACTCTATTTACATCCTCTTTATTTATTCCTGTTTTCTATTTATACACCTTGATCGTATCCCCCCTAATTCTACACCTTTCGAGAGAGTGCAGATTCAGGGCCTCAGTCTATCCTCATAGGGAAGATTTCTGATACATGGGATCATCTTTGTCATCCTCCTCTGTACGTTTTCCAGAGCATTTATATCCATTCTGTAATACGGTGACCAGAACTGAGCAGCATAGTCTAAATGAGGCCTAACCAAGGATATATAGAGTTGAAGAACAACCTGAGGACTTCTATTATTTATACTTCTAGATATGAAGCCAAGAATTCTGTTAGCTTTATTACGAACACTAATGCACTGTTGTCTTGGTTTTAGATTACTACTAACCAGAACTCCTAAATCCTTTTCGCAATCAGTAGTATTAAGATCTACATTATTTAGTTTATATGTGGCATGGTTATTTACCTGTCCAACATTTAGAACTTTGCATTTGTCAATATTAAACTGCATCTGCCACTTCTCCGACCACTGCATTAGTCTATTCAAATCATCCTGGAGTGCTCTAGTGTCCTCATTAGAATGAATTGGACGGCCTATTTTGGTGTCATCAGCAAATTTGCTTATGTCGCTATTTATTCCCCTCATCTATGTTTTTATGTAAATTGTGAACAACAAGGGGCCCAACACGACCCCTGAGGAACACCGCTTGTGACGTGCCCCATTCTGATTCTCCCCATTTATGCAAACCTCTTTGCCTATTTTTCACCATGCCCCTACCCAGAAAAAATTTCTCCTTTTCCCTGTCCCTTTAAGTTTCCTAATAGCCCGGGTGGGAACTCATCGAAAGCCTTAGAAGTCCATATACACAATTTCAATTCATTACCAGCACCTCCCAAACCTTAGTGAAAAAATTAGTAAATTCAAAACGGGAACGCCCCTTTGAAAACCGGTTGAGAATCTTTAATCAACTGTCCCTATCAAGATGGCTAACGAATTGCTTTGGAAATTTATTGATTCCAAAAATTTCCCCCCACTAATGGAGGTAAGGTTTATTGGCTTTTTCAACCAAAACCTGTCACCTGCCTTGTAAATAGTATTACATTTGCCTTTTTTCCACTCATCACCCCTATGCCTTTTTGTAGTGAAGTTAAAAAGATTACCAAAGGATGCAATCCCTCTTACTTTCCTTTTAACCCCCCTTTTTGCAAACATTTTCACAGGCCCCGGGGATTTGTTAAGTTTTTAGTTTCTCAAATTTGACTGAGATCATATCACTATTACGCAATTGTACATATTTATCATCACCTGTTCTACAAAATTTATTTTTTCAGGAATATCACTATATTTTCCGGGGGTGAAAACTGAGAGGAAGTGGGTATTGAAATTTCACACATATCCTTATCACTGTCAGTGATCGACCAGTTACCTTAAAGGGGCCCTACTTGTCCCAAATCTTACTTCGTATACCTGAAAGAACCCTTTTTGGGGTTTAGTCTTTGAACCCCTTGAGACCTTACCCTCAAAACCCCTTTTTGCTTTTCTTATTCCTTTCTTTATTTCTCTCTAATTGAATATATTGATTTCAAAACTCCCCAAAACCCCTCTTTTGATATCCTATATACCTCTTTTTTTTGACCAAAAGAATTTTTAAATCTATTGTTCATCCTTTGGGGCTTTTTTGTTAGATCTAATTTCTCTCCTTGGAACAAAAGTTGTCGGGGCAGCTAGAACAGCTCTAAAAAACGTCACTTTGAAAACCAAGACACCTACCTGACCCATAGCAGGACATCTCTTTTTCCCCCACCAGGTAATTTCAGTCCCATGAACGGCCAAGAGAAAACGGACAAGTTTTGGTTGCAGTTATCGGGAAATTTTCCATGAATAGAAACTAAGCAATTTGGATTATTTTCCCCAAGCTCATCATTGACCCAAGATTTTTTAATTTAGGAATCTTTGTTGGCAAAAACCCAAAGTCAAGCAGATTTTTTCCTCTATTGATTCTGTCACAACCTTTTCCCCTAAAAAGCAATCCAAACCGACAAAAATCATAGACTCAAGATTTCCTGTCATATTGTTCCAATAAATTTGTCTAAATTTAAAATTCCCTTGAAACAACATTTTCATATCTAGATCCTTAGAATTTCGTCCCATAACACTTACTGCACCCCCCTATAAAGGGTTTGGGGCCTTAAAACACACCCAAAAATTAATTTGTCACATCCCCCAAGAAACTGAGCCAAACAGTTTCGGTTCGAATTTCAAATTTTATATCAGTCAAACAACAAAAAAATTTTTTTCCCTCTGACATACATCGCCACCCACCCCCTTCCGTGACCCTATCACTTTGAATAGTTTATAACCCGTATTTTGCATTCAAAAGGCATTTCTGTACTTTCAGGTTGAACCAGGCCTCATTATACCAATAATATCTAAAAATTCCTACACTTGCAATAATCTTAGCCTCTATCTTTTTTCTTACTCCCAATTGTATAGTAAAAACCCAAGGACTAGTCACTTGTTGCCCTCTACTATCTCTCTTTGTTTTTGTCATTGATTTTTCCATTCTAGCAACTTTTTTTTGAATATTGTCCCCTTTTTAAAAAAAATCCCTAGGTATCCCGGGAATAAATGCTGTTTTTAACCCTAATGCGCAGTCTGATTGTTTCCCCCCCAAAAACCCATACCTCATTACTTCATTTTAAAATTCCAGACAAGTCATCATTACCCCTCAAACGAATTGGCTAATGCAATCCTCCATCCCCAAGAAGAACCCCCTCCCTTGCATCATATCACGTTTTTCCAAAAAATAGGTCCCAGTTATTTTCAAGTTCCCTTTCATACCTGTCTACCCAAATTTATACCATTTTCTCTAGACACCCTTCATTCCCACTCCCCCCTTTTTAGCAAGATCACATATACTGGGACCTCCCTTTAAACCCAACTACTTCTATGGCTGACCTGTACTTATCCCGCAGCTCCTCTCCCTGCCCTTCCCAATGTCATTACCCCCACACTAAACAGATAATGGGCTTGGTTTTCCCCTTACCTGCCATAATATTATCCAACCTGCTGACTGTCGCCAACACCAGCTCTGTCTGACCTTTCTGTCTCTGTTACAAAATGCGCGGTCCATATATCTTACCTGAGAATTGCCAACTATTAAAATATTCTTTCCTTATTAGCAGGGAATCAGGTTCCTTCAACCTCACTAACCACGAATAACTCGTCTTGGAGAAAAGAGAACATTTTCCCACCTTCAAACTTCTCTTTTTAACCTCCTCATCTTCCTTCTTCCTGAACTTTGAACCACTTGCCACTTAAAGTGGCTGCCACTATCATTGTTGGTGACCATTTCCTCCTTACCAGCTAAATCCTTCTCACACTCTCCCAAACTCATCTATGCGAAGCTTCAGCCTCCTATTTTCCTCCTGAAGAAGTAGAATCTCCTTCTTCAACACTTGAACCTGAGATTCTAAAACACTACAACAAGCCATGGTGCTTGGTAACAGCCCACGCTAACTCTCAAGAGCTTAGGCAGGTATGACCACACGTGACCACTGACCTCAGCATATGAATGGCTCAGAAGTATGTCATATAGTATTGTTTGTTGTGTAATAGCTGTTAAAAAAGTTATGTGTATCTCTTTTTAACACTTTCCTGAAGGAAAATAGAGCATTTTTCTATCTGAATTGTGTTTTCATAAGTTTACTCTCAAATTTTATGGTACATTCTCAAGAATGTTTTTTTTTTTTTTTTTAATTCATTTAAACCAAGACCTTGAGTTCACATCCTCCTGCTAACTCAAATAGGTAATTATAAATAGACCTTTAAGTATTTCCAGTCCTCTCCCCTCATCCTTTAAGAGTCAACCTACAACTTGATAAGTCAGATTGTTCAGTACCTGACTAGAAGGTCCTGGATTTGATGCCAAAATTTAGCTAATCTTATCAACAAATTTCCTAATATCTCTGATTTCTCTGCCCTCATAAAAGTAAAAATAAATACCTGGGCATTAGGTAACTCTTATAAGTGACATCTCACAGAAAAACTGCAATGCTCATGTGTGAGAAACCCTGGTCTTGCTGGAAGTCATATCTTAGTCTAAAATGGTAATGTAAGGAAAGACAGTACCTGCTGGCAGTATTTTAATTACTCTGTTCCCACACTGCAATTTATATAATGTTAGGTAAAAGGACGCATGTGCAACTGATGTGACATTCTAATGTGGCAACGTTTCACTCACCAGGAGGTTCGTCAAGCTGTAACAGCTTGACAAAGCTCCGGGAGAGCAAAACATTGCCACGATAAAATGTCACATTAGTTGCACGTCCTTTTACCTAACATATTGTCAGTAATTCTACCAACATTATTATAATTTATCTAATGATATAAAATTCCTAAAAGTGGGAGAGAGGTGTTATTCATGAGTTAACATTTTCAAATCTTTGTTTACCATTTCTTTTGAAAATAAAACTGACAAAGGACCTTTATATATATTGCACAATGAGATGCATGTAGCTCTTAACATGCATTTTCCAGTGTCTTATTACCTAAAAGCTGAAAGATGTACATCAGTAATGAGACTAATGTGTGTACCTGTACCTTTTACAGTGCCTAGTATGTTTGAGTCTGAGAACCTGGATGAGACCATTCAAGCAGAAGAGGCTGAGGAACCCAGTGTAGCTGTTTCCTCCGAGGCAACCCTGGGAGTGTGTCCCACCTGTCACGACACCTTCTCTCAGTTCTTCCATCAGGAAACAGAGGAATGGCGGTATCACAACGCTGTCCAAGTTGATGGTGTCAACTACCACCCGACCTGCCACCAAGATATGCTTAGGGTAAGTCAAACTACACTCATTTGAAAAAGTTTCTTATTTTTTTACATACCAGCCATATTCTACCAAGACAGTGACCTAAAAACAAATCGGATGTTTTGTTACTACATGTAGTACTGTAATTTATACAGAAGGGGTTACACTCCCTGCATTTTTGTCGCCTCTTAAGACATGCACGTCTTATGAAGGAAGGATTTTCTTCCACTTCCCCATGAAGAACAGGTTATTGTGGTTACTTATACATAAGAACATAAGAAAGAAGGAGCACTGCAACAGGCCTACTGGCCCATGCGGGGCAGGTCCAAGTCTCCTAACGGCTTAAGCCAATGCCCCAACCTAGTCAGGTCAGGTCACATTCACTTAAGGAAGGAACACGGCAACTGACCTAGTAGCACAAGCTAATCAGGTCCAACTCAAACCCACCCACACCCACTCATGCATTTATCTAACCTATTTTTAAAACTACACAACGTTTTAGCCTCTATAACTGTACTCGGGAGTTTGTTCCACTCATCCACAACTCTATTACCAAACTAGTGTTTTCCTTTATCCTTCCTAAATCTGAATTTTTCCAACTTTTCCTGGAGGGATGGCAGTTGAATGAGTGATGGTGAATGTTTTCTCCTTGAGGTCACCCTGTCTTGGTGGGAGATGGCCAGTGAGTTAAAAAAAAAAATAATACAATCTGAACGTTAGTTAAGACGCTTAAGGTGTCAGATTCAGTATTTTATTTTATTTTACGAATAGTAATATGGAAGCAAACATGCAGGTAAAGAACAGTTCACGATAATTTACCTAAGAAAGTTACATCAGCATGAGCACTGAAAGAAGTCATGCATTAATCTTGTTTACACACCATACTGGATTTTATTCCAAAAAACCAACACACGTTTGTGACATTTAAGTTATACAGGAGGATCCCGCATATACAACACCCTCTTTTCAATGTTCCACATTTTCATTTGCTTTCAATTGAGCCATAGTTCTTATGTTCAGTGCTTTTACCACTTTTCCGCTGTGTTCACAAAATAGTTGTGCAAGGGAAGAGCAACTTGTGCCGCAGTTTAAGGTTAGTATTGTATGTACTGTGTATTTATTTTACTTTTCTCTCTGTATTTTTTATGCCTGACTGTATTGAGCACTCAATATATGATGTTATCAGGCGTTTTAGATGCATTCGATAATGAAAAATGCTTTTTTTTCATGCAACCAGCAGTTTACGCTTATCACACAAGGCCGTGAATCTAAGAGCCATACAAACAGGGCCCTCCTGTACCTTACAAACAGTTATCCCAGTGGCCATCTCCCACGAAGGCAGGGTGACCCAAAGAAGAAAACTCACTCACAAACATTCATTCAAATGCTCTATTTCCAGAAGTGTGTTGACATCACAATCCAATTACCCTCATATTGCAACATTGCCACCTCCTCTTCAGAGTGCAGGCACTGCTCATCCCACCTCCGAGAGGTGGGATGATGCAAAACTGCTTTAGCGAGTTAATTTAAACAGAAGCGTCCACGATTGAATGTAAGAGGTGGTGTACCTTGATTATTAAGCCTCAGCCCAGTCTTATTCATAACTTGCATAAATGATCTAGAGATAAGGATAGCATCTAAAATTTGCAAAGTTCACAGATCCCACTTAATTAGGGGACCATGCCACATCTGTGGCTAAATACTTGCAGGAACTTGGATAGACACACTGGCCATCTCCCACCAAGGCAGGGCGACCCGAAAAAGAAGAAATTAAATTATTTCGTCCTTCTTACATTTAGTAATTTATACAGGAAAAGGGGTTACTGGAGTAATTTATACAGGAGAAGGGGTTACTAGATCCTTGCTGCCGGTATTTTAGTCACCTCTTAGGACACATGTGGCTTCCGGAGGAAGGATTCTTCTCCACAAATTAGCCCTTGAAGAATCTCCTGTATTATAAGTACCTCTCCAAGATAAGATTTGACTAGATACAATACACCTCGGTCTCAGTTAATGCAAATAATGAATCCCGTGGAGTGGTCACACTATTTGAATTCACACTAGTCTAATTATATGTAATTTTTGTGCATGTTTTTAAGAGTTTAGGGAAAAATAACACACATTAATTAACCCTTTGAAGGTTGACAGGCCCTCTCTGAGACTCGTTCTCAGGGTCGGCCAAATTAAAAAAAAAAAATTCTCTTATGAAAAGATAGAGAATTTTTTCCCGATCATAATGACACCAAAAGTTTGAAATTTGATGGAAAACTTACGGAATTATGCTCTCGCGAAGTTAGCGGTCTCGGCGATGTTTGCGCATCGGCGATTTTGCCCAATTTGAGCCCTATTTTCGGCCACTTCCACAGTACTAGTCGACAAAAAACATGAATATTTCGCTAGAACTCCATTCTTTCTATTGAATGAGTACAAGAAACCACCCATTTACTGATTTCAACTATCCAATACAGTGGTCAGAATTTAGCAATTTTGCCAATTTCACACAAATTTCAAAAGATGCCAATTTCCGAATAGGGTCCAGAATAAACAAGAAAGACATTCCTTTCACTAAACTGACATTTCCTCTGTTCATTAGTCACATCCCCAGGCCCCTCTTACATTCTTTTGCTTTCCACTTGGAATTTTTATTCTCACAAAAAATAGAAGATTTACTGTTATGCAGACTACTGCATTAGTGTAAAAAATGGTATAAATAATATTGGCGCACTTGTGAAAGAATATTAGACTCACCAGTTAATGTGTATTGGACGCTTGGCATGATTTGTTTACTTTTGAACTTTGATAAAAATCGATCATTTTTGCTATTTTGAGCTCAATTTCAAGGTACTTTTCATTGTAAAACCAGTCAAAATCACCTCAATTTCTGTAATATGTCTTCCATTCTATAAAATGAGACCAAGAAAACTAGAATACAACAATAAATACCATACGAAAATACAGTGCAAAGTCACTGTTTTATTCCAAAAAAACAGTCAACTTTTTTTTTTTCTCATTATGCACTGTGTGCTGCAGGATTGTTTTTATACTGCAAACACTGACCACATAAACCCATTCTTTCATTTGTAGGCCTACCAGCTTTCTCCCACTAGATTTGAGGGCGCTAGAATTTAGGCGTACTAGTACATCAAAAACCCTAGGTCATAAGCCGTACTAGTACGGCCGAAACCCTCAAAGGGTTAATTTCACACTAAATTGAAATTTGTACTATTCAAACTCACACTAATTGAGATCTGGCTGTATAGTGGCAGACTTAATATATTGCTATACTATCTGTGATGACTTTAACCCAGACATCAGTGTGAAAGGTTGACCATAGATCATTCATGACATAGTATTAGTCATAGCATAAGTAAAAAGTATTAATGGTTAAGGTCACATCTCAACGTTTTCTCTTAAATGCCAATGCACATTTTTAATGTGTTATGGTTGTATTTTGTCACTTTTTCAAGTTAGCAGTGTGACCATAGGAAGTGGAGGGTAAGAAGAGAACCATCTACTGTGCTATCCTTGCCTCAGCATTATAGACACAAGTAGGGGTTGCCAGCATATAGTTAGTACTTCTCAATATATAGTGTCGAGTGGACTGATATCTGCCGTTACCGTGTAGTACTCTGCACTTGTTGTTCTTCTTTGTTGTCAACCTTCTTCTTTCTTCTTCCTCTTCTCCCTTTTTCTTCTTCTTCTTCTTCTTCTTCTTCTTCTTCTTCTTCTTCTTCTTCTTCTTCTTCTTCTTCTTCTTCTTCTTCTTCTTCTTCTTCTTCTTCTTCTTCTTCTTCTTCTTCTTCTTCTTCTTCTTCTTCTTCTTCTTCTTCTTCTTCTTCTTCTTCTTCTTCTTCTTCTTCTTCTTCTTCTTCTTCTTCTTCTTCTTCTTCTTCTTCTTCTTCTTCTTCTTCTTCTTCTTCTTCTTCTTCTTCTTCTTCTTCTTCTTCTTCTTCTTCTTCTTTCTTCTTCTTCTTCTTCTTCTTCTTCTTCTTCTTCTTCTTCTTCTTCTTCTTCTTCCCTTTTTCTTCTTCTTCTTCTTCTTCTTCTTCAGGGTGACCTGAAAAAGGAGAAACACTTTCATCATCACTGTCTTGCCAAAGGCATGCAAATACCACACTTCTAAACTGCAACATATCTCCTCCAACTCTCTTCTTTTCCCCACTCCTCCCTTCTCTTATCTCTTCTTTGTCCTCCTCCTTCATCTTTTCTTGTTTTCTTCCTCTTTTCCTTCTTTTTTTTCTCTTTTAATAAGCATCTGTAGTTGTCTTGTGAGGAAGGACAACCCTGAGAGGAAGGGTGACAACTGCTGTTCATAATCAGAATAAATATTACATATCTTGGACTCAAATTAAGTTGTAAAGAACAACTGTCAGTGAATAAACAGAGAACTGATTGAGCTACCCAGGGTTTCTATTAGGAAAGATTTTGGAACAAATACTCTATTATTTGCACTGAAATCTTTCCTATTAGAGCCCCTGGGTAGCTCGATCAGTAATGTCGGACTGTCAGTCTGCAGGCCGCGGTTTGCTTCCCATCCACCATTCTGTTTATTCATTATGCATCCTTGTAGATGAATGGTTCAGAGAACCGACATGTTGATAAATTAGACACATGTGCAACTCTTGGGTATCTTTATTGAGGAAACGTTTCACCACACAGTGGCTTCATCAGTCCATACAAAGGAGAATCTTGCAGAAAGGAGGAGAATAAGATAATCAGTCCCTCAACCACATCGACTCAAGGTTGTGGGTCTGATTACCTTATTCTCCTCCTTTCTTCAAGATTCTCCTTTGTATGGACTGATGAAGCCACTGTGTGGCGAAACGTTTCCTCAATAAAGATACCCAAGAGTTGCACATGTGTCTAATTTATCAACATTATGCATCCTTGTTTAATGTTTGTTATTTTTCTCTTCAAGGATTCATTTGTGTCTTCACTTTCCTTTTTATTTGGTTTGGGTCACTGGTATAGAATTTATATTAAAGTAGTACTACCCAGCCCTGTCTTGTAATTTACTGAAGACATAT